TCAAATCCAGAAAAAGTGGACAATGCACTGGTACAATTTGAACTGATTAAGATATGAAACGGAAAACATAATAGTCTAATTGTTTCCATAGTGTTCACATTAATTTTTTGGTTTTTTTCCCAAAAAATCCCTGACAAATATTGCGAAGCTTTAAAAATATGCAGATGGAAAGGGACCTTCCTGTAGAATTCACTTGAATTAATTGAGTTTCTTCAGAATGCCTCCGCTTCTCATAGAAAGTGACTATGAAAGAAGTTCTGACATAATGAAACGAATTTTATTTACGGCAAAGCAACTGCAAAATTATTGTTTTTTTGAAAAGAAAAATCCAGACAGACTGCAAAAAAAAATGGCATTTTCTTTGTACTTCATTTGAATCAATCAGGCTGATTAAAGATACCTTCCTTTCTCACAGAAAGTGCATGCGAAAAAATTTCGACTTTTTGATGTAATAAAATGAAGGAAACTGAACTTTTGCTAATGCCGTGGAATTGACATGAGCTTTTCGCTTTTTCACCAAAAAAATCCACATAAACTGCGATAAAACATCAAAAAACCCCAAGCAGTAAATAAATCTTTCTGTATGCTTCCGTGTGTTTTTGCCTCTTGTAGAGAGTGAATGCGGAGGAATTTTTGACTTTTTTTATGTAATAAAGCGAAGAAAACACAAATATTGATTGTTTCCATGCAACCCAAACGATGTTTTCTTCACTTTTTCTCAGAAAACCAAGTAGTTTACGATATCCTCTGGAAAGCAAAGATTATTTTTCATTCTTTCAGAATGGAGTCAACACTTTCGAATACCTCTGCCTCGCACAAAAAATGAAAGCAGAGGGATATTGACTTATTGACTTTTTTGAATAACTTTACAATACAAAAAGAAGTTTATACGAAATATTAGTACAGAAACTGTGTTTTTTAATGAATATCATTTTTCAAAAAGCTTTTTATGAGGATTTTATTTTTCAAAATGCAAAATTTATCCAAATTTGCCGGTTTTAAAGGGTTTAAGTTCAGCACATGTATTGCTCTATCTCAGCAGCATCAAGAGATCCACACTA